GAGAGAGAGAGAGAGAGAGAGAGAGAAAGCTAACTTCTTCTAAAATATTGGGGAAAAGTCAGCGATGTTCTCTAATGTGGCCAAGACAGATCTTCTGAACAACCAGTTCTCTGGTCCCGGGGGGCACTAGTCCCTCCATGTACCCCTACTTTGCTTCTTTGCCTGCTCTTCCTCCTATGTGATGTAGGAGATGTACGAAGAAACTAAGGCACAGGAAAGCCAAAGGAGAGAGTCAGTTGCCCCCAACCTCAGCCCTCCTCAACTTGCATGAGTTCCGGCAACTTATTTATTCATATATCAAACTTCTTAACTGCCCATCTGCCTCACAACTTGGCCTCAGCGCCCCGTGTCCAAGAGAGAGGTCCCCCCCAAGTCTCAAACCAAGAACCCACCTCTTTAAGACTGATCATGGCCATGTAGATGATGTTTGTCCCGTCCCGACGGAAATGAGTGTGTGGCTTGTCCTTCAGGATGAAGACGATGTCGGCCGGGATGTTGTCAGGGGTGGCATCTCCTTCCTTGGGGAAGGTGATCTTGGTGCCTTCCTTCCATCCTCGCTTGATGATGATGTTCAGGATCTTGTCCTCGCTCCGCATCGTTCGCCCGTCCGGGTTCAGCCGCCGGCGGGTGATCTTCATCCGCTTTGTGGCACCGTGGTAGATTTCCTCCAGAGAAACCTTGAGCTCGTGGATCACGGGGGGATCCTGCACCTTCCGGCGCATGTGGATGGGCTCCGGGTGCCGCCGATGGACCCCGTTGAGGCCATTGAACCCAAAACGGCTGAAAGCACTGAAGGGATCGTCGCTATCGTCGTCCACATCCATGCTGTCCTCGTGGTCAAAGCCGTTGAAGACCCTGGATCGGCTACTGCTGAAGAAGATGTCGAATGGGTTGGAGCCCCCAAAGAAGGAGGCGAAGGTGGCGTGAGGGTCTCCATGGAAGGTGTAGTGGAAGGTGCTTCCAGAAGGTCCAGAGGGACCACCACCCGTTTTGAGTCCTGAAAGAGAAGCAAACGGAAGAACCATCAGCGAAGGCCACAGGGAGCAGAGATGCTGCTTGGACCTGCAGCAAGAAGAGTCACAGGCTTGGCCTGCCCACAGTCCTCAAGATCCAGGGGCAGAAGCAGGGCCCCCACCTCAATTCTGCCCTCAAAACCTGGCCCTGCTCCGGCCCGTTTTGGGAGTTCAACCTGCTGTGGCCCTTGACCCCCCAGGCTGCACAGGCAGGAAAATGAGGAATGCACAAACTCCTGGGATGGCTGCACATCTAGCAAAATTTGGAAGGGACCTTGGAGGTCTTCCTAGGTCAGGGGTAGGCAACCTTGGCTCTTTTATGACTCGTGGACTTCAACTCCCAGAATTCCTGAGCCAGCCTGGCTCAGCTTGGAAACCTCTCCCTTTCCCCTCAGCATGGCTGGCTCAGGAATTCTGGGAGTTGGAAGTCCACAAGTCATAAAAGAGCCAAGGTTGCCTACCCCTGGACTAGATCAACCTGACAGATGGGACCCGCTCTAGAGGAGTGGGGATTACGCCTTCTTCGGGCATTCTGGCTGCCACTTAGGGGGTCTGTGGTCCCAAGAAATCCTGAACAGGTTAATACAGGTAAGTCCTTGACATCTGACCGTAATAGAGCCCAAAATGTATGTTGCTAAGTGAGTTTTGCTCCATTTTATGACCTTGCCACCTTGCCCCTGTCCTAGTCCAACCCTCTGCCCAAGCAGAAGACCCTGTACCATTTCAGACAAATAGTTGTGTATCACTTGGCTGATCTCTCTCATTAGGTTTGTAACACTGGGGTCGAGATTAAACACTATGGGGCACTCCACCCCATGGCCACCTCGGACAGGGGAGGCTGATCATGAGGGTCTAAGCACAGTCAGGCTCTCAGGAGGACCAGGTTCTGCAAGGACCAAGCCACCGGTCCGGCCCAGGTTAATTGAAGGGGACGCTCGCCATCCCAGGCGTTTGTGCAACCCTCGTTTTCCTGCTCAACTTGGGGATCCAGGTGGTCTTGCATGACAATCTCTGCTCAATTCCCAAAAAAGCCAGGTCAGAGTTCTCCTCCTTCTACATTTGCCCGGATGCAAGGAAGGAATCCCTCCATCTGAAGTTCTTTTTTTTTTTTAACACGTTCCTATCGTCTTTCAGTTAGTTGAAAAGCCTCGGAGACCTTGTGCCTTGAAGAGGCATCCAGAAGACAAGCTGGAGCACCTGCAGAAACGTTCTCTCCTTCCTACTCTCCTAGGGGGGCGGGCTCTCACCTCTGTCAGGCACCCCGATCCAAATCGTCCATGAAAAGGACTCAGCCCCAAAATCAGAGGTGGAGGAAAGCAGCCCCCACAGAAAGACCAGCCCTGGCCCTCCTCCCAGCCGCCTGTTAAAAACGAGGGGGGGGTTGCTTCCCTCAGATTTTCAGGGCAGGCGTGGGGGCAGAACGCCGGGAGGAAGGTCAAGGTCTGGGGCAGCAATTTCTGGATGCTGTTTGAGCAGCTGCCCTACAGCTGTTGGCTTTTAATAAAAGTTCAGCAGCAGCCCCTGACCAAGGGGAGAGAGAGCTCAGCTAAAAGAGGGGAGGGGTAAAGGGAGGGGAGGGCCGTCGACTAATATAAGGCTCCCACTTTGTGGCCAGAATGTTTCCACCACCACCCCTCCCCCAAGGTGGGCATTCTCTGATTAATAGGCTAAATTAGGATGGAAGGGGCATGTTCTCCCTTCAACTCTAAGGTCTTGTTGACTTAATTCCTCCAAGGGAGAAACATGTGAATGGATTTTCCCCCTCCCTCCCCCCCCCCCCCCCCGATCTTCAGGGACCTCACTTTGCTTCCTAGGACCAGCGACAGGAGCAATCAGCCCTTGTCAGTCACTGCTCTGACATAATTAGAAGGCGCATTCAGAGATGACGCCAAAGAGCTTTTATTTTTAGACCCTGCTGGAAGCTGGAGCCCCCCCCCCCAAACTTCCCCAAGGAACAAGCCAATTCTGCTTGCCCTCCCCAGGGCCTTGGCTGCCCCAACCCCAGGAGCCCTCCAGCCCTAAGAGCTGCCCGCTCCCCAAAATGTGAGGAGTGGAGTAGAAAAAGGAGACAAGGCACTGGAGACAAGGGTCCTACAGCCAGGCAGCAGCCTCAGTGACCCCTGACTCTCCCAGAGACATTGGCTATTGCTGTTCCCCCTTCCCTGCTCCTGTCCCCGTTCTTTAAAACCTGCACCGTGGCTGCAACATGCGCACAAAACATAATTTTGCAACTTGACTCAAATGGGGGAGCCTTTGACTATTTTGCAAGGAAATAAGCTTCCCAGGCAGGCAACCGTACCCCAAATTCTTCACTATGGGTTTTCCATTTAGCAAATGAAGAAGTCCAGGGCCACCGAGTCCCCCCCATTTATTTATTTAATTTATGCCTCTTCCTGGGCTCCTGAGTTATTCCTAGCTGCCGGGTAACGAAAACAAAACAGCCTGCCAAAGTCGCCACGCTCCCTCGCTGCCAAACAGCCTGGGATAGCTTATGAAAGGATTACTAAAATTGGGAAAGGCTCTTCAGGTCCAAACACAAACACACACGCACACACACCAACACCAAGAGCAACAGCAGCAGCAGCATGGACTGAAAAGGAAGCAGAAGGCACCCTGCATTATGCCACGTGAAAGGCCTGTGCCCATCCCGCATACACCTCAGCGGCCAGAAGGAGCCAGTCCTGCCCAGGGCACCCCGGGCAGAAAGAGTCTGGATCTGCCCTCAAGAGCCCCTTTGCCTGACAGTGAATTGGGAGGGGATGTGGGGGCTGACTTGAGGGCCTTGGCCAGGGAGAAGTTTGGGGGGGGGAACCAAAGAACCTTTGGTTCTGCGTAGCGTGCCAAAGCAATCAGAGTCCTGCTTACCTTCTTCTCCATACTGGTCATAAACGGCCCGCTTCTTGGGGTCGCTCAGCACGTCGTAGGCCTCAGCGATTTCCTTGAACTTGTCCTCCGCGTGGGGGTCCTTGTTTTTATCCGGGTGGTATTTGAGGGCCATTTTGCGGTAGGCCTTCTTGATCTCATCCTCATTGGCTCCCGACTGGATCCCCAGGGCCTTGTAGTAGTCCTTCCCCATGGCCGAGACGGTGCCAGCCGTGGACTCCTTGTTCCTGCACCAGGGAGGGAGAGACCCAGATCATGGGAGAAGAGCCGGGAAGGGGCGGCACCGACGGAGTTGGCAACTGAAGGGCACCACGTGACCCCTGCCCGGACAGCCTGATCCTGCCCACAAAGAGGCGGGAAGGAGAAGCAGATGGGACCCTTGGAGCCCCTGCCGGCCATCGCCACTTCCAGGCAAGGCACCGCAGCAGGGGAATCCTCCGAGCCGAACAGGCTCTTTTCCCCAGACGAGACGCCAGCAGATTGCCTTAAAAGAACCCTTCCTCGATCGAGCAAGCCAGCGCTCAGCCCGGGAGTTCACGCAAGGACACGTTCCCAGCATGTACCGGCAGAGACGGCAGAGGATGGAGCTGTTAGACGGAGACATCTTGAAATGGTAGCAAGCTATTTTTAAAGAACTCCCAAACGAAAGCCCGCCACCGCAGGGAAGAACTGCCCGAGGGCAGAGCGCTGGGACTGGCAGCTGGCATCCGAAGGGCAGGGTGGCTGCTGCCTGCTAGGGGCCAGTAAGCTCCAACCCTCTCCGGCCAAGCCAGCCCAGACTGCTGGGGGTTGAGGCACCCCTGGAGGCACTGCAGAGCCCCCAACCCACCTCTGGAGACAGTCAAGTCAAACAGATCTGCACCCCCAGCTCCAGAGTGCCGCTGAAGCTGAATCTCCCCCATCCTCTCACTGGGGCAACAAACCCCAGAAAGGGGCACCAAAAAAGCTCACAGTGTTGCATTCACCGTTTTGCTGAATTTCAGAAATTTGAAGGGATAGGAAAACCCCCACATA